ATAGATGGATAGGTAGACAGATTTGGGAGCTGTCGTAGCTGGCAAAAAGCCAGGCATATTTACACCATATCAGTGAATGAAGACACGAAAAGCCAACAGAAGCCAGCCGAAGCCACGAAAAGGCAAAGAAGCCACCGAAAGCCAAAGTCATCAAAAGCCACCAAAAGCGAAAAGCCACCAAAAGCCAAAAGACAGCAAAGGAATCGTCCGCATGAAAACAAGACCGTCATCTGGTAGCTGGGCACCCGGATCATTTTGGAACCCAGAAACGGCTCATTTTGGAACACGGATCATTTTGGAACACAGACGAAAAGAAAACTCTCCGGGACTGCAGTCTGACACCAATTTCGCGGCTCATTTTGGAACACGCATCATTCGGTAGTGCTTCGAAGGTATCATTTGCTAGTGAAAATGAGCGTTTCGTACGAGACTTCCTCCAAAAGTGAGCCGCGGAAGTCTCCAGAACGAGCGTATCGTACGAGACTTCCTCCAAATTGAGCCGCGGAAGTCTCCAGAACGAGCGCTTTGTACGAGACTTCCTTCAAAAGTGAGCCGCGGAAGTCTCCAGAACGAGCGTTTTGTACGAGACTTCCTTCAAAAGTGAGCCGCGCAAGTCTATAGAGAGAGAGAGAGAGCGTTTCGCACGAGACTTCTTTCCAAAGTGAGCCGCGGAAGCCTCTAGAACGAGCGTTTTGCACGAGACTTCATCCTTCAAAAGTGAGCCGCGAAAGTCTAGAGAGAGAGAGCGTTTCACACGAGACTTCTTTCAAAAGTGAGCTACGAGACTTCCTGCAAAAGTGAGCCACGCAAGTCCGCAAAGAGAGCGTTTCAGACGCGTCAAACGCGATCGACGTTTCACCACACGTTTGAGCACTTGGGCTTCAATGGAGAGGGGCTTGGGGCTTCACTTCTTTAGGTTTTTTTTGTTTTGCTTCAGGCTTCACTCCTTTAGGGTTTCATGTGGTTGGGCTTAGGACTTTGTGTCTTTAGGATGTCTTTGGGTCGGATAAGCCTTCACTTCTTTAGGGTCTCTTTTGGTTTTGCTTCGGGCTTCGGCTTTATTGTTTCTTTGGTCTTAGCTTAGGGCTTCACTTCTTCAGGATGTCTTTGGGTTTGACTCAGGGCTTCACTTCTTGAGGATCTGTTTTTGTTTTGCTTAGAGTTTCGAAGTTTCGCTCCTTTGGGTTTTCTTTTGCTTCTTTAGGATGTAAGTGGGTTGGACTTAGGCCTTCACGTGAGGGCTCCTTTAGGATGTCTTGGGATTCACTTAGGGCTTCACTTCTCTAGGGTCTCTGGTTGGTTGGGCTTAGGGCTTTGCTGCTTTAGGATGTCTTTCGTTTTTACTTGGGGCTTCACTTCTTTAGGATGTCTTTGGGTTTGACTCAGGGATTCACTTCTTTAGGGCCTGATTTGGTTTTGCTTAGGGTTTCGCTCCTTTAGGATGTCTTTGGGTTTGACTCAAGGCTTCAGTTCTTTAGGGTTTGGTTTGGTTTTGCTTAGGGCTTCGCTCCTTTAGGTTTTCTTTTGCTTCTTTAGGTTGTCTTTGGGTTGGACTTAGGCCTTCACATGAGGGCTCCTTTAGGATGTCTTGGGTTTCACTTAGGGCTTCACTTTTTCAGGGTCTCTGGTTGGTTTGGCTTAGGGCTTTGCTGCTTTAAGATGTCTTTCGGTTTCACTTAGGGCTTCAATTCTTTAGGATGTCTGTGGGTTTGACTCAAGGCTTCACTTCTTTAGGGTTTGGTTTGGTTTTGCTTAGGGTTTCTTTGGCTTGGCTTAGGGCCTTGCTTCTTTAGCATGTCTTTGGGTTAGACTTAGACCTTCACCACCCCCCCCCAAAAAAAGAAATACACTTGTCAGACACCAGTCCCCAGAAACCACTTCCCAGAAACCAGTCCCCAGAAGCCAGCCCCCAGAAACCACTTCCCAGAAACCACTTCCCAGAAACCACTTCCCAGAAACCAGCCCCCAGAAACCACTCCCCAGAAACCACTTCCCGGAAACCACTTCCCAGAAACCACTTCCCAGAAACCACTTCCCAGAAACCACTCGCCAGAAACCAGCCCCCAGAAACCACTCGCCAGAAACCACTTCCCAGAAACCACTTCCCAGAAACCACTTCCCAGAAACCACGTCCCAGAAACCACTCCCCAGAGACCATTTCACCCGCGTTCCGAAACGATCCGAATCCGCGTTCCGAAACGAGCTGAATTCGCGTTCCAAACCGAGGCGGCGGCCTGGTAGCTTTGCCTCGGACTTCACATTCCTCCAAAAATGGACTAGTAGCAAACAGCCAGAAGCCACGAAAGCCACCAAAGCCAAAAGCCACGGAAGCCACAAAAGCCACGAGAAACAACATTACTTTACTTCGAGTGATCCCCACCATGACATTTCAATCATTTGTCTTGATGCCATAGTGAGGAGCATGTTGCCATAGTCGTTAGTATTGTAGTTCTCGATGTTGCTTGTGGGTCCTCGGGTTGTGTGCTGTGGTTGTGTGCTGTGTTGTGGTTGTGGTTGTGTTTGTGGTTGTGTGTTTGTGGTTGTGTTTGTGTGTTTGTGGTTGTGTGTTTGCGGTTGTGGTAGTGGTTGTGATTGTGTGTTTGTAGTTGTGGTTGTGGTTGCGGTTGTGTCTTTGTGATTGTGTGTTTGTAGTTGTGGTTGTGGCTGTGTCTTTGTGATTGTGTGTTTGTAGTTGTGTTTGCGGTTGTGTGGTTGTGTGTTTGTGGTTGTGTTTGTGAATGTGTTTGTGGTTGTGTGTTTGTGGTTGTGTGTTTGTGTGTTTGTGGTTGTGTGTCTGTGGTTGTTGTTTGTGGTTGTGTGTTCGTGGTTGTGTGTTTGTGTGTGTGTGTTTGTGGTTGTGTGTTGTGTGTATGTTTGTGGTTGTGTGTTTGCGATTGTGTCTTTGTAGTTGTGTTTGTAGTTGTGTGTTTGTGATTGTGTTTGTAGTTCCGTGTTTGTGATTGTGTTTGTAGTTCCGTGTTTGCGATTGTGTTTGTGATTGTGTGTTTGTGATTGTGGGTTTGTGATTATGTTTGTGGTTGTGTGTTTGTGGTTGCGCGTTTGTGGTCGTGTGTTTGTGATTGTGTGTTTGTGGATTTTATCTGGCAAACTATCTGGTTGAGGTCCAGCGGTGCACACTGCGATCGGATCCTTGCGGTTGAGGTCCAG